AAAGAGTGAAAAATGTAAGGGGGTCTGAATACTTTCCGTACCCACTGTATATTTGCAGAATGTGTTATGACTCGAGATTCCAATTTGCAGTTTAACTCAGAATTGGATCAGAAATGTAAAGCGAGTGTTTGTTTCTGAAGTGATAATGGCGAGTCCAGTCACAGATATGAGTCCGTTGTTGTGAGTGTGTGAGTGTGTGTGTGTTTGAGTGAGTGAGTGAGTGTGTTTGAGTGAGTGTGTGAGTGTGTGAGTGAGTGAGTGAGTGTGTGTGTGTGTGAGTGAGTGTGTGTGTGTGTGAGTGAGTATGTGTAAACCATCTGCTTCTATTGCATTGATGTACAGTTTGGTTATGGTTAGGTTAATGTACATTTTTAATGACCTTTTAGCTTTTTAAAATTTTAGTCATGCAGTGTGACAAAGGAAGGACGTAAACAGAGTTAGATTAACTGACTGAAATTTAACATACATTTCCTGTAGAAAAAAAGGTAATTTATTCCGTAAACATGGGTCGAAGCCTATACAATACAATAGCTCTCTCCTACTCAAAGCTTTCCCACAGTGACCACAAGAAAACCCTCTTTTTCCCAAGCCATATAAACAGTTAATGGGAAGACTTGGTTAAATTGGGTAAGTAGCATAACAAAGGACAATTCCTGAACATAAAATACTAGTGTTTCACTTCAAGCGTGTGTATTTCTGCATATTTCAACCATCATGTCTCAGTGTTCCCCTCACACACACACACACACACACACACGGGGTGGTGGTCTGTGGGTATCGCGCACGCATGCGCAATGGCATCGCCTCTGCAGCGCACAGCGACGAGCGACGCTTCCCAGACAACGCGAGCGTGCGTTTTCATCGCACCACAACACATCGACAGCGTGACGGCACCGCGTATTAACGCCATGTAACGCCGAATAGCCCATCGAAAACGACGACCGCGTTAACTGACTGAAATTTAACATACATTTCCTGTAGAAAAAAAGGTAATTTATTCCGTAAACATGGGTCGAAGCCTATACAATACAATAGCTCTCTCCTACTCAAAGCTTTCCCACAGTGACCACAAGAAAACCCTCTTTTTCCCAAGCCATACAAACAGTTAAATGGGAAGACTTGGTTAAATTGGGTAAGTAGCATAACAAAGGACAATTCCTGAACATAAAATACTAGTGTTTCACTTCAAGCGTGTGTATTTCTGCATATTTCAACCATCATGTCTCAGTGTTCCCCTCACACACACACACACACACACACACGGGGTGGTGGTCTGTGGGTATCGCGCACGCATGCGCAATGGCATCGCCTCTGCAGCGCACAGCGACGAGCGACGCTTCCCAGACAACGCGAGCGTGCGTTTTCATCGCACCACAACACATCGACAGCGTGACGGCACCGCGTATTAACGCCATGTAACGCCGAATAGCCCATCGAAAACGACGACTGCGCGAAAAGAGCAGCGAGAGGACGGAGACAACTACAGTTATTCGTAAGTAAATGGCAATTACGCGCAGGATTTCCTTGCGTTCAGTGTTTTCACATACTTGTTACGTGATAATGCCGACATGACTAGAAGGACAGACGCGAAGATGTAACGCTGCTGGCTCTGTGGGCTTTAAAATAAGCTGATAGACCAATAATTCATCACCTTATATTATCATCACAGTCATATTAATGACTGCCACCGTTCCGTTCATTTTCCCGTGTGACCGAAAGATGCACCTGTTATCATATCACATGCCAGCGCAGTGGTTTGGATGGATGACGTCATGCGACACGGCGTTATGGATGAGTGACGTCATGGTAATCAACAGCCACAGACAGACTGAGTTTTCATTTGTGACGCTGGGCCACAAAACCAGTCATAAGGGTCAATTTGTTTAAATTGATATTTATACATCATCTGAAAGCTGAATAAATAAGCTTAGGATAGGACAATATTTGGCAGAGATGCAACTATTTGAAAATCTGGAATCTGAGGGTGCAAAAAAAAAAATCTAAATATTGAGAAAATCGCCTTTAAAGTT